AAGGGCCAAGGGAGGGACTTGGAAGTCAAGCTAATAACAAGCACCCAATTTCTGCCAAGCTCTTCTGTTTTGAAAATCTTCAGTAGACAGCTTTTGTGCAACTGTCTCCCCATGGAGACCTTTCAGGATTTGGATAGGCCTTGCTGTTTAAACAGCCAGGTTTGGCAACTTTGTACATTTCTCCATATGCTCTTTTAATTACTTCTACCTTTCTATACTGCATGCCAGGAAAAGAAAAAGCATTCCTCGAGTGTTTTTTTTTGGCCTTTCCCTGGCAGGAGGGGGAGGTGAGGTAGCCTTCCAGTTCTCATGTCCCTGAAGATAACTACAGTGTGTCCTCAAGATAACATTATTTCTGAATAGGCATTTCTGAATAAGCTCGTGTATTCAGTTTATTCATGGCAGAGAAATCCTTGTGGCAGAATCCCTTAGTGGAAGCTAGACTAGCTACTGTCATCCACAGAAATGAACTGGAATTCTGGACTAGGAGGACTGTAATTTGGCTGTTTCTCCTGATTTTCTGTAACAGCAACTGAAAATTCAACATTTAAAACCAAAGCTAAGCAGTAACATGTCAGTGAGAATCTCTGTTTGTAGACATCCCTCTGGCTTCTAGCAACAGTAGCAGGGACAAGGAACAAACTTGGTGCTCATGCCCTTAAACCAACGCAGGGTAAGCTTAATGCTGAAAGTCTGAATAGCAAGTCATATGTGGCGATATCCCTAAACATTTCCAACTTCCATAGCTGGAGTCAATGTATGAATGATGTCCCTGCCATTGTGACATTACTAGCCTGCCATGTGCTGCTCAGAAGACTACAATTTGTGTGTATGCACTACTTTCAATTCCTCTCATGCCTTCTATGTGCAAAAATGGAAGGAGATATCACTCTTGAAGCTCCTAAAGTATGGAAACGCATGCAGTTTTAAACAATACACATATTATGTAGATATCTGATAGGGCTAACTAAGCAGTAAATTAGGTATTTGTCTATAATCTACACAGGGCATTATTAGGCCCAAAATGTTATCTATCATTTTCATCTTATCCTCACTGTCAAAATACTAGGTAAATAATCAGAATAAAAGCAATAGAAAGGTCTTGAGTTTGTAGCATTTGTATTGACTCCTTTCAGTACTTCAGGAGACTGTGTGAATGTTCACTGTGTGAGCTCCAAAACAAGCATTCTGCCAGACATGGAGGGGGGTGGAATTTCCTGGGTTTAGGAAACAAGATTGTATTATAGTGTAAGATTGCACACAGTGAAGCTACAGACCAGCTGTAGGTTGAGATGCATGAAATGCCTTAATTCAGCGGGTCACCTGAACTCATAGGTGGCAATTCCATTTAGTTCTTAGCACCATAATTTTCATGCTACTTTTCTTTCCCTGCTAAGAGCTGTACTTAACCTCTGATGTCTCCTCAGCAGAAGAACAGATAAACATGAAGATTCATTGCATTTCCATGATACCATCAATAATATATTCTCTTCTCCTGTGGGACTTCAAGAGTGTCAGAAGACAAGAGCAAGAGAAAAAAAATTAATGCTTGCTTTGCCACCTAGCAGTCATTGAACAAACATGAACTTACTAAATAACAGAGGAATTTATTCATTAGTTAGTTATACATCAGTTAATGTAAATTTTTAGAAGTTTGGATGAGAATGCTTAGCTGGTGAAAAACTGTTCTCTGTGCTGCTTTATGCTTTTAGGCCATTTCTGGTGTGCAACAACAATATGTCATTGTGACAGCAAGTGATGGAGTGCTGTAACATGGACTATTGTTTCCTTTCTGAGAGAGAAACTGAATAAAGGGCTCGGGCATTTCACTATTTAGAATCCTTTGGAACAGTAACAGGAGCAGATAAACCATTGTCTTCTGATTGTTTCAAACTTATTGTCTTCTGATTGTTTCAAATGAAACAGTGTCACTGCTCAACAGAATATGCTGTTTTTTGGTAGTGCTGTATTTCAGAGGAAGCTCTGCTGTAGTAGAACAAGCTTTTTAATGTAGGTACGTGCAGGTATCTCTTTCAGTAGCTGGGCCAAGCTGTTAAATACTGTTAATTCCTACTTCATATATTTAGTGTTGATAATTAACATTCTGCTGCTGAAACTGCTTCTTGGTTTAGTTGAAAGCTTCTTAGTATGAGAACTGTGTTTTTATCATGAATGGCATAAAGCTGAGACCTAAGACCATTCACAAGGACCCAAGCTTCAGCTCTGAATTTTGTGTTTCATTTTGTGTTTCACCAGGTAGACACAGGTACTAGGAAAACTTTGCATTACAGTAAAAAAGTGAAATAACCATTCATAATCGCTGCCTATAAATTGAAGAGCTTGGGAAACCTCTATTTTTGACTCTATGTAAACAAACCTCCAGCTGTATTTTTAAATTAAAGGGATTACTTTTCCTGATTAGAGATGCTTAGCCCTCCTTGAGCTTCAAGGAAATGCAGATCCAAATCTGATCTTCACAAGACCACCCGTTACTCAAAATGCACAAAAGCAAAAGCAGAAATTCTTGAAATTCCTCATATTTGCAGTGTGGTTATCCTCCAGCAAAGCTTTGGCTGCCAAGGACAAATTGGAAAACATCCTCCTCTCACAGATGACAGTCACTTGCACAACAACCCAGTCATTAAACAGTTTGCTGCTGTGGGCCTGCTGCCCATTCTTCCTGCCTGCTGGAGCCTCCCAGGGCTGCTGCTCTTGCCAGAGGAAGTCGACTGAGGGGGAGGGGTATCAAAGTTACAAAATTGCTTCCATCTATTGAATTCTACAGTTGTTGTGACCATTTCATTAGATTTTGGACTGCTTTCATTATTTTTGGTGCTTGTTCCCTGTTAAGATCTGATTAGTGAGAGATGGCTCTGCCCAAATTGAGGTGCTCACAAGGCCATATATCGAAGTCAACAATATGGATTTTATTTAACAATAAATGTGATGTAGAGAGATAGAAATAAGTAGAAAATTGCAGATGGAAGTGGGGGGAGAGAGAGAGAGATAGTCATCACCTGTGGCTTCAGCAGCATCCCATTGGCCCTTCTTCACCCTAGGCTTCTCAGTGGTGGGGAGGGGGTACCCTGTTTGTAATTCTGCACAGAAAGGGGTGCTCGGTAGCGAGTCCACAAAGCCCACTGCCAACTATCAAATCTTTTCACTGTTGATACATTTTAGCAAACAAAGGAATTAATGCTTATTGGCTACAAGTTACATAGTTCTCATATTAATTAGTATTCTATCTTCTATTGGTTAAACGATTCTCTTGCTTGTGATGCTGATTAGTCTGCATGCTCAGTCTCTCTCTTCTTTTGAGTCAGTGGCCATGAGTCAGTGTTTGCCATCTGCCCCTGCCGGAATTATCTTTTACTCAGTCAGACCTGATTTCAGCACAGTTGTTGAGTTGGTTTTATTAGTTTTTTCCTTATCTTGGAAGTTCTGCCAGATGTCCTTGTGGCCCCTAAATGCTGTATTCTTTGTATCTACTGATAGTGATACGTCCTTCTCCCCAAGCTTTGTTAACCCCCCCAGGTCTGAGATCATGGAATTTATCTTCCTAACACCTGGAAAACAGTACCACCTTTATACAGTCCAAGTTTTGGGTATCCACAGAGCCATATTCAGGGGGCTTCCATTGCTCTTTGTGGTCACAGATGCCGTCTGTCCCACAGCCTGGGATGATCTTTCTTTGACTAGTGGTATGCGTATGAGCAGTTGATCTTTTCCACAGTCTGTCACAATGGGCCAATTTTGTCCAGATGTGTTAACCAGGATGTGCTAACCAGATCTTACCTTTGCCAGGCCTGGAATTAGCACCTTCCTGTCATAAATTCCTCTCTTCTGTGGCCTTAACAGTGTTTGAGACAAGTAACCATCCTCTTTGACTGCTAACATTCCCTGTGCTGAGAACTGGGCAGCTTTTTCTGCCAACTAGAGACAGCAATTCTGGGTCAGAGAAAGAATCACCCTGATGGTGGACATCCTGGAGAGGCATTCTTTCTGTGAAAACATGCTTATTGTCCCTCAGGGTTTAACAACAATGTACACGGGTTTCTGCTTTATTGATCTAATCAGGTGCAAGGGAGTATCCATCAGAGCATTAACTGCAGAGGGATGTTGTGGCCTCTTCAGTCCCTTGGAGTGACTGAGGGGGGCAAGACACCCATCGTAGCAGGACCTGTTGAAAAAAAGGGGAGCAGTCACCAGGGAAATACAGATGTGTCAAGTCTCAGGAGATGATGGGGATGAGAACTGTGTATCTTTGTTTTCAGAGGCACAGGCTGATGGAGTTCCTGCTTATGAAGCCTAAGGAAGAGCTGTTCCCCTCAGCTGTCAGAGGCTGTTTTTGAGACATGTAACTCATCCCAAGGTCCTACAACAGCTATCAGGCTGGTGCTTAGCTGTAGTCACTGAACCATGCAAGTTCTCTATTTGGGTCTTACTTAGGGAGCTGAGGATGACGTACCAGTAATTTGAGGAGGGATGTGATAGACTGAATCATTTAACCCCTCATCCACTTCACCCTGCTCTGAAGGCCGTGGTGCAGATGGGCTTTATTGTGTTGCAATAGCGGCGGCCTCCATTGGTGGCTGAGGGCAGCTGAGTTGGAATGGAGGACAGGTTTTGATCAGGAGAGTCGGCTCTCTCTAACCAGCTGAAGAGGCATGGCAGCCTCTAGCTGAGCCTCCCTTTTGGCCACCACCAAATGGCTGACAGGGATCTAGACTCCAGCAACGGGGGAATCCTCCAAGACTGGGACAGTGCCCAGGTGCTGCCCCATCTCAGCCTCCCCCGAAAGATATAGGTGCTCTGTTTAGCAGCTCCCTTATCCTACATGTCAGCTGCAGCCTGTGCCAAGTGAATGTGGTCGCCAAGGCTGAGTTCCTCTGGACAGCCCAGTTTCCCTTTGGGGTAGCCAATAGTGGCCTCAGTTGTTAGATGAGGGATCTGGGAGCAAGGGGGACACCAGCACAGACCATGCCCTTGCTGACGGGTGCAGTCCCACAGGGTTGGACCATGGTCGGCAGATCTGGGAGCTGGGAATGGGAGCCATCAGCTCCTGACATGGGCAGTGTACCAGGTCCAGCATCCAGCCATGGGCTCCAGACAGGATCAAGAGGAGATGGGGTCAGAGACAGGCTGACGAGAAGATGCAGTGCCCATCCAAGGAGTTCATGGAGGAGACAGGCTACCCACAGTGTAGATACAGAAATGGGTTACCCAGCACTTGAACACTTGCAGAATTAGTTAGTTAGTTTCCAGTCACTAGATAAATAGAGGCCCCTGCTTTTCAGGAGCAGACATCGGACCCTGTTCCAGGGAGAGAATGGGGAATTCAGACATAGATGTTGGTGTTGGTGCTCTGGGTGCTGCAGGACTTCAGCCCCTCCAGGTGCCTCACATGTATGGTTTGACCTGCTGTGACTTGATGCTTAACCTGATAGCTACTCTGAATCCTGTTTTGAGATCTAGGTTTACTTTTCCTCTGTTCTCATAAAGTTCTGGCAGGCACTTCTGACATCTTTTGGAAAGCCTAAAATTAGGTATTCATACACTCAGCTGGCATTTAAATCCCACACCAGAGTTAGCCTGGGGCATCTCCACTTGACTGAATAATCCTTTGAGGACTTTTAATAAAGCTTCTGTCTGGGCTCAGTTTACTCCATTCAGACAATTCAGCACCTCACTTCAGGCTAGGTACTAGCTGTTTGCTCTGGTTTAGTATTTTGGGAACGTGATTCAAAAGGCATTCTCAGAGCACGTTTTCACAAACAGTCTACCAGGACAGAGCTCTCTGTGAATCACAGCTTTCCCCTTTTTGCCTTTCCAAATGCAGCAACCTTATGGCTGGGACCCTCCCCAGCGAGAGGAGTTTGGGGTTGAGTGACCCTGTAGCCCTCCCTGGCTGTTTGACACACACTGCAGTGATAAACACAAGCTGTTGTACCACAGACAGCACACAGCAGCCACTTGCTCTCCATAGGGATGCCATGGGCTCTGGCATCAGCATCAAAAACTCTTATCCTGTTTCATCCCATGATGTAAATGTAAAATGCCAATATGGGCTAAGCAAACTCTAGGGTTCTCCCATTTGCTAGTAAATACTAAACTGCAGGGTTGGGATCGCTCTTTTTTTATTTTTTCTTTAATCCTTCTGGGTCTTGAAATCTTCTACTTGTCCCAGACCAAAGGCAACTGCTTGTTTGAGTAACAGGCAAGAAGAGGGCGTCTGCTCAGGCTGCACACACACATAGGTGAGCACTCAGCCAAGCAGCTAAAGGCTGTGCCTGGCAGCTCCTGAGTTAGTCTTGTCTTTAACAAATATGGCCCACTGTGAAAGGTTCTGTACCTCTTTAAATAAATAAATTCCCCTTCCTCAAGACAGCTTCCAACATTGCAGCCATCTGGTCAGACTCAAATAGCTGGTGATAAATCATTCTGGGGAAAAAAAATATTTCTTTTCTCCTTCTCCTTTGTCCCCAGATTTGATATTCTTCCAGCTGACACTAGCCCCAAGGCAGAAGTCTTGTGTTAATCATTTTTGCCTGGCTGCCATGGTAAAATTCAGAGGGTCTCACCTCAAGCTGCACCAGGGGAGGTTCAGGTTGTACATCAGGAAGAATTTCTTCATGGAAAGGATTGTTGAGCATTGGAACGGAATGCCCAGGGAAGTAGTGGAGTCACAATCCCTGGAGATGTTCAGGAAACAACTGGAATAGCACTTAGTGCTATGGTCTAGTTGACAAGGTGATGATTGGTCAAAGGTTGGACTCAATGATTTTGGAGGTCTTTTCCAACATAAATGATTCTGTGTGATTCTGTGTGACTGATCCTGTAATGTGGGTCTTGGCTGCAGAGAAAAACAGACTTACATGGGAACTCAGGAAATATATTTGGAGCATGAGGTCTCGAGGATCACCTGCCCTGCCTCAGCAAAGGGAGTGCTACCTTTCTCTTCCTTTAAGCATAAACATGTCCTGCACTCAAAGCTATTTTTTTCAAGTTTATTAGCTTACTCATCTCATTTGTGGGTTTTTCTCCACTGTTCAAGATGACAATAGATGTCTAGGGAAGCTAATCGCTCTTCTGCCAAGCCCTAGAAGGCTATGCAAGCCTTTTGGGAGAGCATGTCATCCTTGTCTCTAGCACAGATTTTGATGACAATTCTAGTTTAGCTTAGAAGCCTGCTTCCCAGGAGTCTTTCTCCTTACAATGGAAACATGGACCTGATCTCCTTGGCTTGCCAATCCAGGACCCACAGAGACTTATGGATAATGGAGACTCAGCAAGCAAAGAGATCCCTTGAACCAGCAATGGCAGCCAAGGCAAGGAAACTGGGGAGCCCCAGTGTCTCCAGGACTTAACCAAAATTCTACTACTGGTTCATTTGTTTGAGCTGTCCAGCTGTTCTGTAAAGCATAAGGCTGGCAGGAACCTACCCCTGCCACTGAACGACCAAGGCCTGTCACTCATTGCAAAGCAAAAGTCCTGCTCAGGTCAGGCCCTTGGCACAATGGAGACCTTTAGCTACCAAGGGAGCTTTCTGACTTGCATGAGGGACATTTCTGGAGGGAAGCAATGAGTTGACAGGGTTTTCTGAATCATAGTTTCAGACTTAGGAACCTAAAGACTTTCTGACATAGATTCTCCTATTGACTCTGAGCCCATATCTTAACAGCAGCAGCTTCACTCTTTCATTCTCCCACCCCATTCTCTCTACACTGTGCTGCATGTTAAGGAATACCTTACTTTCTTACCTTCTTTGAGCTCCACAAGGTGTTCTCATCTTTCCTAATCACACTACATCTGCTCATTCTTTATTCTTTGACCTTCTTGCTTTTTAACCTTGTCTACTTGTTGAATCACCTGGAGCTTCAGCATGTGGGAATCGCTACAAATCTTATGGCAAAACAAACAAGCTGCAGGCTAACACACACACACATATGCAGAGGGAGACCTTTCCTTGGGATCTTGCTTCATTTTCTCTCTGCTTTGCTCCAGATCACTTATTAGAAATTCAGAAATCCCTTGAGCCAGTGTCTTGAGACTAGCTGTTCTCCTTGGGTGACATATGGTTCCCACATACATGGCCCTCCGAAGGACTATGTTTCACTCAAACTTTAGTTCTGGGATGCAACGGGGACTTGCAACAGCATGCTTATTATCCACGGATGACTGAATCTCACCCGTCAGGAATGTTTGGTACTAGCATTACAATTCCCATTTTGCCCTCTGGTTTTAATTTCTGCTTTCTCTACGCTTTCACCATCTGTTGCTAACTCCAGCTGTCGGCTTTTAAAGAAACACTTTTGGAACATTAGCTATGACTCTGGAAAACCACCTCTCCAGGTGCTTCTGTGAGAATTGGGTGTTGCTAGTTAACAAACAGCCAGTGCCTTGAGACATACTGCTGCTCTGAATTTCCTCCTGGTCTGATTAATTAGCTCCTCTAGCTGGAACTAGCTGTGGTTTAGCTTCTGTTGTTTTTTCCTTTCCTTCGTTATTTCACCAGGGCAAGCTGTCCTCACAGACTTCTGCCATCTCTTGTGCATCTCCTTCATCTTGTTCCTTGAAGTTGCCAATGAAAACACATTGCCTAAGTCTGCTTTCCATGTTGGAAGATGGGCAGCTGACAGAGCTTTCAGCCCTGGTGGTGATTTTGCTTCTGCAGCAGCCACTTGTCCCAGTAATTGTCTTAGAGACACAGGCCCCCTGACACAATGTGGGCTTCTCCTCCTGCAAACTCCATGCTGTTTTCATTACTGCATCTTTTGCGGGTACATAAATAGTATGTCTGGCACTACATTTCCCTATTCTCATTTCAGGAAAGCACAGCCAGCAAGGTCTAAAACAAACAAAATCCAACAGAATGGAGAAGTTTGGAGATCCCTCAAAGTGACCCACCATCTCCCCAACCCAGGGTTTTCAGTACTGGAAGCTGAAAAATGACTGGCAGTAGAAGACAGTCCTCATCCAAAGCAAAACAAAGTGCAAATCTTCCCATTTTGGCTATGAATTTTCAGATCAGACCCCATAACAGCAGGGAAATTTTCATACTAGTGTAATTTTGAAGTTGCAGCATAGATGGTACAAAAGGACCCTCAAACACCTGTTGAGATATTTCAGTATACCTTATTAGGGCAGTTCTGCCATTGCTAATTTTGTGCCTGTATTTAACCAAGTCCTTGAACAATCCGGGAACTGCAGGTCATTAATTATCACAGCCACCCTCAGTGAGGGGGCAGGTGAGAGCACATGTTAGAGGATGGCTGGTAGAGGGTCTGTGCCACAGGGAAGGGGCCGGGACCTGTGTCCTGTCCTCAGGATGCTCCCCAGCTGGCTCAATGCCAGCAGCAAACCCTAGGGAGCCCTGCAGGCTTTCCTAACTTAGGATCTCCTTCTCAGCCCTGCCCCTGAGGGAATCTCAGCATTAGAAAAGTGGCATCCTGACACCCTGCTGCATCTCCTCATTTCAAGTCCTGGGAACTCTGAACCTTACCACTAAAGTGTGGACAATCCCCTTTGAACTGGAGCCAAACACTTTTATGTACAATTTAATGTTGAAATAGAAAAGAAAAAAAAAAAGGCATGATCATTCTCAAGTCTTCATGATGTAACCAAGATAGAGAGATGGTGGAAGAAAAGTGAAAAAGTGGTTGTAAAAAGGAAACATTTTCCTTCATTCTTAAAACCCTTTTCAGCCCTTGAACCCTCTGCAAGATAAAAGAGCCATAGCAGAAAGTGACTGAAGCCATTTAACATTTAAAAAGAAATAAGATTATGAGGAGTAGGATCGTGTTTTCTTTGAATGTGACACCCCACCACTGATGGTTTTTTTCAACCAAAGGAATGCACTTCTATACTCAATCCTTGCATGTCTTCATCCCCTGTGATGATCTGAGATGGTTTTCTAGCCTGTGGGAAGGTTGAGCAGCACAGCATTTTGAAAGAGAAAGAGGTGAAATGCTCAAAGATGGTTTTGTGCAAAGAGCTATGTACATACCTGTGCATTACTGCTCCTTTACCATTTGAATTCATGAAAGAGTCTATCAAGGAATTTTCTGAGCTCTTTGCTTTCTGATCAAAACAAAACCAAGCTTTGGATGCCATCTTATTACTAGAAATGCCTTTAAACACCTGCACATCTTTTGGTATCCTCACACTTAATTATAAGATGGTTTGACAACTGACAATTAACCTGATTTCCTTTCATTTTTTTCCCTTCTCTCTTCTGACTTAACTGACTGCACTGTAGATGGTAACATTGATACCAGTGGTCTCTGCCTTTTCATTTCCATTTTCCATCCCTGCTATTTGTGCAAAACCTGGTTTTCAGTTTTTTGGTCAAACTCAGGTATAATGGGTTCAATGTCTTTTTTTTTCCTCATTGAAATGCATGTCCTAAAATTCATATTTAATTGAAGAAAATGTGTCATTTGTCCAGGAAAAAAAATTAAGCACATCTATCACAAAAGGGAGGCAATTTGAAAATGAAATTACTTGACTTTACCAGCATTTTGTGAGATTGTTTTCCAACATGTGATCCTAAAATATGGAGTCCTGTTTGTGCATGTTGTTGTCCTTCAATGTCTTTCATGCCGTAAATAATCCTACATTACCATAAGACTCCCAAGCTTTTCCTAAAGCAGTGTAAATCTGTGAGAGATTTTTGGTGTGGTTCCACCTTTAGTTTTATAAGGCTTCCTCAAAGAATAGGTCTGCTTCTGGCCCTCTGTTTTTTGCTACCACATTGCTGCTAAAAACTTATAAGGTCTCTACAGTAGTGCACAATAGCATTAATCAGTGTCTCCGGCCAAATTCTTGCCAGTTCAGAACAGCACTTGGGGGAATATTTCTCAGACTCCATTCACAGTCAATGACCTCTTGCTTATTATTTTCACTGCAGTGACAATTTTGCTGAATTGAGAGACTTCCCCATGTATCCTCTGTTGGATTTGTAGCAGTCACATTTTGGTCTTCCTAAATTCATGTTTGGCTGCAAGATTTTGCCCTGTTGTCTCATCTTCAGATGTGTCTCCCAATGGATTAAAACTGACTTTGACCCCTCGTACAGCTACTACACATACAAGGGGTTAGCATCACAGGGGAAGCATGTTTTCTTTTTTTTCCCCATTCTGCATGCTTCGGTTTCCCTTTCTCTTACAGTCTCAGACAGATGCAGCAGAGAAAACTCCAATCTTCAAGGATAAACTGAAACAGTAGTGAGAAATTGTAGGTTTCAACCTCCTTCATCATTTCCATTTTTCAGGAAACAAAACCTGACCCAGCTACATAGCAGCAGCCGCACAGGAGCCCTCAGCCTCCCAGGGTTCTGTGGTCCCTCCATGGCAGCTGAGTCCTGCCGTGCTCAGGTATCATGTCCAGGGCCTGGGTACCTCATCTCCCACCAGTGACACTTTCCACTAGCGGTCACCCAAACTCATTCAATGAAGGGCTGCCTTTCCTATCAGAAAGAGTGGTGATGCTGCAGGTTCCATGGACGTGCAGGGAAAGGTAGGAATGATTCCAGCAGTAAAATGGACGTTGGGCTGCTGTTACGGTCATGCTGTGTTTCCCAGTAACATTACTGGAAGATGTGTGCACCAAGCTCAGTTT